CCTCAGCATTCCTTTGGACACAAGATCGGATTCACTACCTGAGTCAACGAGCCAACTAACGCCGGCCTTTGGCGCAGCTGTGGCAATTGACGGGAAACGACCAATGTCTTTAAGGGCTTTGGGACCGCTGATGAACCTGCACTCTTTGCATGTGACGTCGCGTGTGTCCTCATCCCAACAACAAAACCCACAACTTGGTGCAACATCTGAATCATGAAGTTTCACAGTTTCTTGGAGCTGTCTTGCACGAACCTGAGCTTCATGCTGTTCAACCTTCGATGAAACTGGAACATCTTCAGCTGTCTTGTACACCTTAGTGAACTCTCTTGGACGGTGCTTGACTGGGACTTGACGACCGACTGCCTTCACCTCGATCACATGTGGGGCCTTTCGGAATCTAAGACGCTTCATGCTGACACTTGCCTCATCAGAGCACGAAGTTGCCTTCGGCTGTTTTCGGACGATGCATGCAAACTTGTGGATCAGACATGGAGCGGCTGTGGAATCCTTGCCCTTCTTCTTGGGAGCGGGTGAATTGGCCCTTTTGGTGTCTTTGGTGGCGGCAGCGGCTTTGTCATCATGTTTATAAAAACATTTGTCACCACGTCTGCACTTTCCCTGGGCATGATAGATGCATGGGGTTTTAGCCATTTCTTCTTTAGACATCTTCTTCCCCTTATCATCCTTATTGCCCCTTGATGGTGAACGTGTTTTGGTTCTTCTGGGTGATTGAGTTCGAGATTTATCATCTTTGACATGCTTAAATGGACACTTCTTCCCCTTATCACAGGTACCCTTTTGGAACTTATAGCAAATCTTGTCACCTTTGCCACCTCGTTCCTGCGATCTACCGCGACTTGGAGAGCCCTTTCGGCCACCGCGACCATCGCCTTTGGCAGGTGCGGCCTTTGTGTCCTTAATCCCAGCCTTGTTCTTCTCCGCGATGCGGTTCCTGTTCTCCCTCAATCGTTCACGATCGATCAAGTTCTTCATGGATTGGTGAAGAAAACTATAAGACTTTTCATGGGATTTCTCATGAGCACGGTCAAACATCTCAATGTCATATTTCAGCAACTGACTTGGTCGGATCTGCCTCAACAAGATGTCCCTTAACACAGCATCATCGGGGGTGACAGCCATGCCAGCTAGGGTAGCATCCCATTTGTTGATGAATCTTCGGAGATCCTGGACAGTATCGCCTACTTTGACAACACCCAAAAGATCTTCTACTCTGTAAAGGCTACCTGCTTCTTCTGATGTCTTGAAGTAGTCCTCAAACATGAGCAGAACATACCTTCCCCTGACCTGGATGCCTTTTCGGGATTGCTGCTCCTTGAAATTCAAGATCCTAGTTGCGAGGTCCCCTCCGGCTGAGCGCGTGAGCGCTGCTGATAACTTTGTATCCAGCGTGAGGAACTTTCCAGGATCTTGGAGTTTCTTCTCCAACTGCTCTCTGGTGCACTCTTGATCGTACACCTCGTTGAGCCAGAGCCACGCCTCATCCGGGCGATCTGAACAGCTTTTCACTTCATCCCTGACATGATTCTTCCAAGTTCTATATGACTCCGGAGCGGGCATGTTGTTCAGCTTGATGAGTTCAGCCTCCTTAGTTTTTGGCTTATCCTTTTCTTCCCTTTGGGTTAAGGCTTTCACCAATTCAATAAGATCTGAGGGACCCATAACTTGCTGTTGCTTGGTTGCGCTCTTAGGAGATTCATTTGGGGGAGTTTTGATAGCTTCAGTGGGAGTGAAAAACCCTGACTGCGTTGGCAATTGGGGCTGGTCGTTGCCGACAGCCGGCTTTTGCTTGGGACTGCCACCTTTGAGCAGCTCATCCAACTTGGCCTTTGCTTCCTGCGCCAACACTGCAGGCGTCTTAAACTCAAGAATCGGCTCATCACTGCCTCTGGCAGCCTGTGCATCGGATGCTTTGGGAGTGGCAATATTGAAGTGGGGCACGCTAGTGGTAGCGGCCGGCTCGGCGTTCTGGACGGATGCTTTCGGAACGGAGGCATGCTGCGCTTTGGCAACATGCTTTAACTGCTCCTGAAGATCATCGATTTGGTCCTGAAGGCTAAGGTTCTGAGCCGCTGCCTCGTTGATCTTGTCGGCCATCTCCTTCTTGTAGTTCTCAAACTCAGTCCTCAAACTGATGAACCTGGCCTGATCAATTGCAGCCTGATCTTCATATTGCTTCTTTGTGGCAGCTATGGCATTCTTTGCATGTTCAACTGTCTGTGCATAGGAAGCTTCGAATTCACTAGTGATACGTTTCCTTTCCTCTGCAATTTTCTGATCATGCTTTGTGTTTGCCTCTGCCTTTACATCCTCTATTCTTTTGTCATGCGATGCCTGAGCCTGATTCAACCTGACCTCCATCTCGTCGCCTCGTTTCCTCTCCTCGTTGAGGGCACTAATGGCATTACCTTCTACCTCCTGCAGCCTTTGCTCATACTCCTGCTCCTGCATTACGAGTCTACTTGACCATTCGTTTCGAATTGAGTCAACTACTCCATGCATTATCTGAAGGTGCCTCTGTTCAGCTTCCCTCATGACTTGCAGGGTATTCCCACTAGTAATCTGGGACAGGTTGTTTTGTATGAAGGTAAAGTACGCAACAACGGGTTGGAACATTGTTTCGTCATCCATCGGCTCGGGGTTGCCCCCGGCCATATTAGGCACAGCGACAGCCGATGGACCTGACCCTGGAACGGCGAGAGGATGGTCAATTGGGGTCCCCATAGCAAAGTAGTGAGACTACGGCTGATAACCTGTATTTTACCAGGTCAACCGACAATGGGGTGAAATACTAAGCTAACACCGTTAAGCACTCAGCTCTTTTGAACCAACGCTATCGGGCAGATCGATGATATATACAATACATGGTTTTACTGCAGGAGTTTTTACAGTTGTTTTATCATTTTGATTAATTTTGAGTCTTGGCCCCCTGCGAACCTTATCCAGTGCTAGTGATGCTAGTGGGTGGGGGAAACACAGATAACACAGACAATACTCAACTCATCTCAACTTGATACATGCTGAGCGTCGCGTGATTACCGCCCTTGTTAACGAATTGGTTTTGCTGAAGCTCTTGCCTGCACCGCTTTCGAGTTTCCACGTTGCTTTTGCTAGGAAAAATTAGATGCAAGTTCTGGAGGGTCGGCTTGCCACAAGGATTTTGTAAAGGCAAGTTGCTGCAGATCGATAAATTGTGTATGCCCCAACATCCTCCAACATTCAAGACCAGCACCATATGATAACATTGGATTTTGATTGGGGCACAGTCCCTGAAGCGGCCTTCAGGATAGTGAGGGGTAGGATCGTGTAGAGCGTGTCTGCACAACGACCCTTCCTCCCCCACCAGCCCGGTCCTAGAAACAAACATCACAGCATAGAGTATGAATTCTATTTGGAATTGCATGACAAGAATGACATGAGAAGGAACGTTGTCAGCTCCTCCCCTTCACCCCCCAACCCTAAACTGCTAAGGAGAACCCACGGCCGTCTAAAGGCATGCTCCACGCTTTACAAAGGTGAGCAAAGGACATGGATGGCAAAAATTCGTCCAAAGAATGTCACACTACGACTTATTTTCCTCGTGTATAACACAACTTCTGCCGACTTTGTGTCTTCTTTAAACGTTTTTTTTGCGCGTCATTTTGGGAGAGTCAGCTTTCATCCACAAAAAGAGAAACGTGATATGTGCCAAATCTAAAGATGACACGGATGTCTTTGTACTAGATCGAGTTTAAAGAATTCGAGCGTTTTGGATAGTTTCTCTTCGTTTGAGCGGAAAAGACACAACCACCACCGAACACCACGAAAACGTCAGGGATTTTGCCCCTTCAGGTAGACGCATAATCGATTGTGGAGTCACCATTATTTCACCTGACGTGTAGCCTGGATTTCTTTAAGACCAACACTAAAATGTCTCTTGCCCCTTTTCACTCAATGGGAAGAGCGGATCGCGGATGGGTCTGAGGCTGCACTTCTTGGTTTCTTTCAAGGATCCAATTCGGGATTTTGGGCTCAAACTACCGTATATGGCGAACAAGGGCGTCTCTGTCCAGAGGAAAATCTAAAAAATGTCGATGGTTCACCCTTCCCATCCCATATCTTTAGTAGAAGCACACACCGTTTTGCCTAGTATGAAATCCACTTGTTATTAAATTGTGTCCACTTGGTATCAAATTCCATCTCATGTTTGCCACGTGGCTGTGTTTTTAATCCAAACTTTCCCCGAGAACTCTCATAAATATATATATATACTATATATATACTATATATATATACTATATATATATACTATATATATATATACTTGTTATATATATACATATATATATATATTTGTTATATAATTATAATTGCTATATATATATATAAATATTGTTGTTATATATATATTAATGATATATATATATAAATATATATATTATTGTGATATATATATAGTGATATATAAATATATAATTATAATTGTTATATATATAGTGCTGTAAATATAAATATATGTATTTTACTGTTATATCTATATATTATTCTTATATCTATATATTATTGTTATATCTATATATTATTGTTATATCTATATATTATTGTTATATATATATATATTATTGTTTAATATTGTGTTTATATATATATATATTATTGTTATATGTGTATATATATATATAACTAGAACTATTATTGTTATATATATTGTGCATATATATATATATACATTGTTGTTGTATATATCTATATATTGTTATATGTATAATCTATAAAACTATATATATATACTATTGTTATACGCGTATATATATATATATTGTTGTTATATTACATATATATATATATATTATAAAACAAGCGTCATCATCATCATCATCATCAAAATCATCATCATCATCATCAGTATTATTATTATTATATATATATTGTATAACTATATTATATATACATGGTTTACCTTTGTTTTTTCTTTATTCTTTAAACACCATTAAACACCAGGCCTTGAGTGGTGTTCACGAAGACCGCCATGAAGATGAGCCAGGTGTCCCAGCCTACTTGGATGAGAACCTGGGGTATTGGATGATATTGGGTTATTTATGTGCTTTTTTTTTCCGGAAACCAAGCTGTTAGGAAACATATCCAAATACGGTTTATTCACATTGATTCCTAGGGAAAGCCCTGGGGGATAACATGGATAACATGGATATGTAAAACAACAACTGCAATTTCCATCCATTTTCCCTTAAAACTATTCAAGATTACATGCTATGTATTTTCTGTGTATTCTTCGGGATTTTACTTGAGAAGCAACATGAAGCAAAAAACAATAAGTCAACTTGCAACCTTTGATGATGCATATTCATCACAAGCTAAATGGAGGGTGTACGATTTATCACTGGGGAAAGCTCTATGGCAAGAATCATGAAATCCCGCCGATACGAATCTCTGACATTTGGCTTGTAAACCATGCTACGAAGCTAGTGGAATGTCGGTGCAGAATCGGATTCTGACAGATTCTAACTTCATTGCAACACACAGAACATACGGCCAGTGCTTTGAAAGCCTTTTTTTTTGCCGGGAGGTTCCCAATCAGGTCGCTTCAAGGACTAATGATCCATCTTTCAGTGGTATTTCCAACTGCATTTCTAGTACCACCTCACTCGACTAAGCCTATTTAAAGTACCATCATGTGGTATCTACAAAGTGTCCCAGTCTTAGTTGTTGTTTTATGATTCACCACATCTACCGATAGTTCCATATATCATGAAACATAATACATACATATATATGTATATATATATATATTATGTCATTAATTGTCATTATATCTCTCCATTATTTTTTAACATAATTTGTATAGTGTAAACCAACTTATGTAGCTATCGACCTTTTGGCCCCAATGTTAGCTATCGCCATGGCATGCCATGACATGCCATGGCATCGCATCCATGATCCCCAGCCTGCGAAAAGACCTGAGGTGCACCTTGGGAGGGAACGACTTCAGATCGCTTACAGTTTACAAAACCAAATTCCCTTCCAATGATATCAATAAATACATATAGTACATAATAACATACCTGCTCAAATATATATATATATACATACATATATATAATTTAGAAAATACAGTATGTCATTTAATCAATATATATATATACATCATAAATCTATGGTAGTTCATCCAATGCTGAAACATGCGGAAATCATTTGGGAGATGTATAGCCTTGAATACAAACAACTTGGACAATCAAGTGCAAAAAACATGGGGATATATGGCAATAATGTTTGGCTTGTGGGTAACATGTTGAAACATCATAAATAATATGCAATGCAATATCCACTGATCCACTGGTTCGTGGCTGAGTCACCCAGTCCATCAAATGATATGTATGGAACATTGGGATCATCATCCTGTTTGTTGGAATCTGGAAGGTGATTCACTGGAAACCCAGCAGGGTTTTCGAATCATCAATTCTCGGAAGCCAATCTCTTCCAGATTCCATGCTTGGCTGGTACCTGAAATGTGGGATTGTTTGATATGGATGTGTGTGAAAACGGTGTATACCCTGACTTTTGGCAACTTTAAGAGGGAAAATGATGATTAACCATTATTGACCGCTGGATTTAGGGGTAACCTATTGTCAGATAAATCCATATCGGGTCTCTTCCAATGGAACTTTGCAAGGGACATCCCTGGGATGTACAACCCTGAAATTGAAGCTAGAACGTGTAATGCCAACAACACATGGTCAATTTGGGGTGCGGATACCGTGTTGTAAGAACAGTCTTTTCGAGATGAATCGTTGTCAAAGTCAACCTGGGAGGGTTTCAACTAGTTTCGAAACTGTTTGCCAATGGCGGTTTATCCACAGAACAATCACACACACCGTAAACAGTTTAGATACCATTTGCAGTTGTGCTTGTTTTATTGATAACCATTGGGGCGCCAAGTAATCACTTGGGATTTAGATACCATTTCGCTATCTGGAACGTCAATTTTACCTACTGGTACCCTCAAAATGATGAATTGGGATCAATTTTGGGGGATTACTACTGTAAACGGTAATGTTGCTAAATCCGAATTACCAATAAGGAAAAGCTCATCCCCCGAAATGGTATCCCATTGAGCCACTAAACCCTCTGCAGCCTCTGGAAGCTCAGCTGTCCTTCCACTGTCCCCCGTGCGTCCCTGCGGACAGTTGCAGTCGGAATTGCTGCAAGTGCCGGCACCTGCTCTGTGAGTCGGAATGCTGTTCCCCGGTTCGGTGGTTCCTTCCCAAGGGCAAGATGGGGTCCAAAACAGATAGGATATATATATATATGCATATTATATATATATATATCATTCATGTATAATGTTTGGTTTTGTGGATATTTGCGGTTGATTTATGATAGGACAGTTCGTCTGTAACTACGTGGTGCGCGACCTTTCATTGGCCGTGGTACAATCTGCATTCTGAAATCTCAAAAAATTGTCTGGCGTTGTGGCGTGAAAATCAGGGTTTTGGAATTTTACAAAACTACTTTTTTTTTGCACATCATCTGCTCGACACTGGCCCTTTTTTCTTCCATGGTCTTAGCGGATTTGTTTGGCTGTTAGAAGCGTAGCATCAAGAGCGTGTCTGAAGTTCCAAGAACATGTTAGAAGCGTAGCATCAAGAGTGTGTCTGAAGTTCCAAGAACATGTTAGAAGCGTAGCATCAAGAGTGTGTATGAAGTTCCAAGAACATGTTAGAAGCGTAGCATCAAGAGCGTGTATGAAGTTCCAAGAACATGTTAGAAGCGTAGCATCAAGAGCGTGTCTGAAGTTCCAAGAACATGTTAGAAGCGTAGCATCAAGAGCGTGTCTGAAGTTCCAAGAACATGTTTTAACAAAACAAAGAAGCGCGCGACAGGAACGTTATTACACCACCCCCCCAACCCCAGAAATATACAAACATGTACAAAACCGCCAAGGGCGTGTGCCTCCGACTGCATAAGTAACGTAGCCTGAACAGTGTCAAAAAACAAATAACGCGGCATGAAAAATGTCAAAAAACACATCAAACCACACGGCCAAATAAAGGTCGTGGTCCAACTACGTGAACGATTGAATTTTTGGTGGGGGACCCTTTGGATCTCAACAAAAAAATGCATTTCAGATGCCCAGATTCCATGGGCAGTCCTCCAAGTGGGCAATAGAAACTTCACCATTTAAGACAAATCGACTGTATTTTATTGCTGTAGTTAGGGATCCAATTGGACTTTGGACTCTTGATTGCCATTGGTTGATACCAAGCAGGAAAATAGGGGAATGCCAGATATCATGTCCCCATTGATGGATGATTTCCACCCCAAGAAATGATTGGGATTTGCATTGCCAGCGATGTTTGACTACACATTCGGGCACGACTTCATCTGCATGGCTGGTGGCAAAAAAAACCACTTGCCGCGACTCACATTGGATTTAGATACCCATGGAGTGGGGATCCTGGTAACCAACAAATACGGCATATGACTACAGTTTTTCCATCATGGCGAATCTTAGATACCTGTCGAAGGTGGTTCATTCATGTTACATCATTTTACCAACAGTTGACCCAGCGTCCGGCGTAATTAATAGTGGCCAACAAGGAAAAAAAGCCTTTGATAGCTGGCGAAAAGACATACCTTTTATCACCTTTTCATTAATTCTTGGCTGTGAAATGTCTGGCTATCGCACCAATGGTCAGCGCATTTCTCCATGCTTCGGCAGCCCATTGCTGGTGGCGAGCGATTTTGGGGGGAGTCCCTGAGAATGTCCACGGTCATGGGACTCGTGTGTCAGGTCCTGTGCCCAAAAACGAGTCCTCTAAGCACAGTCAGAAGGGTCTTCAATTTAGCACATACACATCTTTTCGTCAGTGCAATTCCAATTGTTGGCTGATTTCCCAATGTTCTTGCTTGCTTGCATCCGCAGTTTTTAACATCTGAAGCCCAGTCTTGCCAATGAAGTTCCATTCTTCTAGGGGACCCCACCAAGTTCATATCTGAGGCGCCCGACCCAAATCCCAGCACACTGAATCCCTAGGCAGTGGTGAAGCCCAACAGGGTCTGTGGGAACAGCCTTAAATCAAAGTTCATGGTCAATCATGGTCAATCCTGGTCAGCATTATCAAATTGTTCAAGTCTTGGGGGTAGATCACATTCTCAGACACAGCTGTAGACACAACATATTCAGTTGCGCCTTCCAATCTACTTCTGCTACAGTATCATTTTGACATTGTACTTAGTCGGCATCGTGGAACTTTCATCACCAGGATGTCTGCACAACAGCTCATGGGATGAGTTGGATATAGTTCGGTAATAAATGATGATGGTTTGTGATCCCAAACCTACTGGTCTTGGCTGGATATCATGGGTGCCATTGCCGCGAAGTGATGTGAGCGCACATTCAGCTGCAACTATTACTTGCACATTTCTTACATTGTTTGAACATTTTGCAATCTATATACATGCAATGTTGAGCAAGTTTAGTGTCCAATGTCAATCATCATGTCAAGGTGAGAATGTGGGTGATGCTTTTCTCCTCACCCGGATAGCAGAACCATCACCCAGTCTTTCCCAAGCAGGCTAGATTTTCCCAAGTTCTGAATCAACAAAGCACCGAACTAAGAAACACCAACCAGTCGATTTTGAGGAGATATCCCTTATATTCTGTAGTTAGTAGTTCGAAATACCCAACCACCGTTGGTTTGGCTATTGTCCTTCTCAGTCGTGCGTCAGGAGGTCTTTAACAGGCAAGGCTGGCCAATTCGACTAGGCTATGTCTCAGCATGTCGAAGTCCATGGAAAAATACCAATGTTAGAATTGGATGGTGTGGAACATGCCATTTAGAGGTCTCCTGAAATTGGGGTACCACAAATATGGCTACCAGACAGACATGACCAATATTTGGAAGATAACTTGGAATCGCCTATGCCTGAGAAATTTCTTATTCTGGGATGACCCATTCCCAAGTTCATCCTCAAATAAACCATTACCAACCGTTATAAACGGTTCCTCTCTAATAGTTGAACGTAGCTATGGAAAACCACAATGTTTAAATCCGGCATATCATCCAACTAAATTGGCATGAATCAAAAGAATTAGTGTTATAGTTATTATAACTGCTGTTGTGGCACCACCTTATCTTTCACTTTTGCATTTGCACATTTCAAATCTTTTAACCTGTCAGGTGCTGAACTCAACCTGATGCGTAGCTGTTTTTTTTCTTCAAGGGCCCCGTGGCCAAACTATGCCCGCCAGATAGGGCTGCAAAGCGAGGAGAAAAACTAGAAGAACGAGCAGCTGCGGAGTCCTGGATCCGATGAAGGCTGGGAATTTTAGGTGGCTGGGCCTGGTGGAGCACTAGGGCTTCATCAATAACCACATTATCACTATTGTTTAATAACATTTATCCTCATCAACCACACTATTGACTACTATGAACCATACTAGACTATTAACCATATTTAAAACCATACCATTAGTGCTTAATGGCTACATATATACATATTATGTGTATATATACATATATGTGTGAAAACGATTGAAAACGTTATTACCCATCATTAAACAAGGAATTAACATGTGTTAACTAGAAACCATAGCATCATCAAACACTAACTATATATTAGTCCATACCATCTATAGCATCTATGAAAACTACCGTTATTTATACATTAATTATCTATAACAATAGATGGTAGCAACCATAGTATGAACTATACCAGCAAACATTATCAGATTATTCATAGCATCTATTGTTGAAGGTATTCAACACTATTAAACAACATTAATGTACTATTCTCCATAACATCTTTTGGATCCGCGGTGACTTCTTCTCGGACCAAGTCACGCTGGGCACGTCTCATAGCTCTCGGGTCGCACGGCCCAAGGCACGTCCTGGCTTTGGGAGGTTTTCATGGTGTCACGGTGATTTCAAGGCAATTTCCATGGGATCTTAGAATGATTTTAGAATCGATGAACAAATTGTGATTTAATGGTGATTAATGGCACTTAATGGGATTTTAGATTGATATTGTAGGTATTTAATGGGATTCTCATGGTGGCATAAATGGGATTTTATATGGATATGATAGGGGTTTAATGGGATTCTCATGGTGGTTTTAAAAGGATTTACCATGATTTACCCACAGGTCATCAAACATGCCTTGAATGTCTGATCCCCCACAACATGATTACAAACGCACGATTTCATGGGAAAATCATAGAACAAAGTGAGGGTGATGTCCCCATTAAAACACCTGTGCTTCACGGAAGGTAGTGGTGTTGAAAATCAAAACTAAAACTCTATGGCTCTATGGGATTCACCAACACGGGGATTCGCTTAGCGAATATCCATACTTGGCAGTTGAACCCCGAAAATTACGAAGATATTCTTATGGGAATTCATGGGGTATGTCCCCGGGGTACCAATCGATGCCGTCCATGTATAGAACGGGTATATCTACCTACATGAAATGGGTGTGTTGTGTTGTTCGGTGTTTTTCTTCTGGTAAGGTAAATATACCAACCCCATATAGACAATCTGACTATATCTTTGCAAAGGTTTGCAAACCCCTTGGGATCCCAACCAGGCGAACCCAACTGTCCCCAGTCTGACCAGTCCTGTGGCCGTGTGGCGATCAAACCGATCACAGGAATCAGGATCAAACTGGACAGGATGCTTCCACAATCCAGACGTACCTGCCAGCCACGGGGTGATGGTGTTGAATTCTATGGCTGTCCTATGTCATTTCAAAACGCGCAAGTGGTGTTTAAGCCCGTAACAGAAATGACCACAGTAGAAGGATTTGTTCATCATTGATGGCTAAAAATGGTAGTGTTAACCATTATTCATAACCACTATTAACCAATATAAACCATGATTTTACAAATTTTCCAAACACAGCTGCTGCCAGCTTCACGCCTTCTGGACGTGGAAGGCTTCGCGCTCCCCTGAAAACAGCCATGGATACCACCAAATGGGATGCACCAAATGGAGAATGAGAGCAAAGGAACTATGTAAGCTCTCATCTGGATATTGGTTATTATATAATTATTCCAACTACCAGTAACCGCACAAGGCGGTGGCGGAAGTTTCAAAAATAGGAAACCTATAGGAGAGGTCGGTTGCTGTGAATCACGGATGGCAGAGCGAACCCACTGATGGAACGAAAGGTGGTTGGAGTTGTTCTTTTTGGAGTGGCTGCAGTGGTCACCTCACACACAACTGCTGGATGTATCTATCTATCCATCTATCTATCTGTCTATCTATCTAAATCTATTTATCTATCTGTCTATCTGCAAGCTTGGAATCGAAGCAATTCTGCGAGACTTCCTCAATTTTCGAAGTTGACAACATCAAAAACAAAGCAATTCTGCGAGACAAATCCCCTGCGCCTGCCACGCAACACCCAATCTGTCTGTCTATCTATCTACCTATCTATCTATCTATCTATTTATCTATCTATCTACCTATCTATCCATCCATCTATCCATCTATCCATCTATCCGTCTATCCATCTATCCAATCTATCCAATCTATCCAATCTATCTAATCTATCTAATCTATCTAATCTATCTAATCTATCTAATCTATCTAATCTATCTAATCTATCTAATCTATTAATCTATCTATCTATCTACTTATCTTTCTTTCTTTCTTTCTTTCTATCTATCCATGTGCCTATCCATGTGCCTATCCATGTGCCTATCCATGTGTCTATCTGTCTATATTCTGTCTATCTATGTTTCTTTCGATGTTTTTCCGAGATTTTTCGATCTATCTATAAACGTGTCTATCTGTCTGTCTTTCCACCTGTCTTTCTATCTATCCATCTATCTGTCCATCCGCTTTTCCACCTAGCCATTTCAGTGCCCAGCCATTTTACGCATCTATCCATTCATGCATGTAGCGTTATTTGTTGTCCTTCTACTCGGCCATTTGTCTGCGTATCTATCTGTTTGTTCCTCTGTCTATTCATGTTGTCAGTTCGACCAAGGAGTTGACCTTTCCTCGAAGAATGCTGAGGTCACACAAAACAAACAGTGGGAAGAGAACCCCGTTTTAGTTTGAAACCGTGTTGTTGGAAATCCTTTGGTGGTGTAAGTTTTAAATTTCTAAAAGTGAGACATCACCCTACCACTAATTTTGCGAGACTTCCTCAATTCGAAGTTGGCAACATCGAAAACGAAGCAATTCTGAGAGACTTCCTTGAATTTTAGAGGTGGCAGCATCAAAATCGGAGCAATTCTGCGATACTTCCTTCAAAAATGATCAAAAATGGAAAGTTGAGTGCAGAGCTGACGGCCTCGTATTAATGCGTTTTGCGATTTTTCCACTCCATCTGTGTAAAGTTCTGCGCCTGCCACGCAAAAGTGGTGCCAGGTCATACGAAGTGCTGCACCTGTCATGCAGAATCGTCTAGTCTTAGCAAACCTGAAGATCTGATTCTCCAAAATGCAACCCCTCTCAGGAAATCAGCGCCCTGACCTCCTAGTGTCCCACGCCTGCCATCGTTTTTGGACATGCTACAAAACCTAACGTTTTTACTCAATTTTGGCAAGGTGCAGAATCCCTTGCGCCTGCCACGCAAAACCACATCGACCCTCCGGAGCCACAAAATTATTGGAAAAACAGTGTTTCGCGACTTTTTTACCTTTTCACGCACCTGCATCTTCTTTCCTCTGACGCTTTCTCTTCTCTGACTGTTCCCACCTCTGCTTTTCCATCTCTCCATATTGTCGGAAGTTTGACTTCTAAATTTCCTTCGATCATCCAATACATGATCTATACAATATAGTGCTATCATATCATATTAATGTCCGTCGGGCCACGTCACCTGAGAGGTCCGGAATTTCTTCGACCCATCTGAAGGTTATGAAAACTTTTCGACTTGGAAGCAATATAATTTTCCCACCATTTATTGCATGGCATTGCAAAATTTTGCCGGCAAAGCCATCCTATGTGCAGGAGATTTGTTCAAATTGCTTTGGTTCCTATTACAGTCTCCTCATTCTTGTTAGCGGATCCATATCTATCATTTTCACAGTAGTCAGTAGTCATTAGTAGATACCAAAAATAATTAATCAAACATGACATTCCAGAAATCAAACAGAATACAAAACCATGAACCACCATTAAACAAAAACCATGAACACCCTGTAGAAAAAAAACATGAACATCCTAATCTGAGTAAAGCAAAGTCTTGTAACAGACCCATTTGGACTCATGGTTTACACCGCCTATTTTTTCTGGATCCCATATTTTCAAAAAAAAAAGTAAAACTGGGGATGGTCTACTGTGACAATTTCCTCATACGTTGATTTGTTCTATCATATTTCGCCATTGTAAATCACCATGAATGATAGTGATGATTAACCATAACCAGTATCAAACATTATCAACCATTATTAACCAGTATTAACCTGTTTTAACCAGTATTTCCCTACGCATGATGATTCTGAACCATAATTAACCAGTACTACCAATTATCAACCTTTATTGAACATTATTAACATGTTTAAACACTTTTTGAGAAACATATATATATATATATTGCCATGGATGATCATTCTTAACCCTAATTAACCGGTATGAACCATTATTGACCATGTTTAACACGTATTTGACCATGAATAATCATTACTAGTATTTACCAAAATTAACCAGTATTAACCATTATCAACCATTATTCAGCAATATTAACCATTATTAATAATTTTGTCCAATATTTCACCATAAATGATCATTATTAACCATAATTAAACAACATCATGAATTATATTTAGCCATTTTCACCAGTATTTCACCATGCATGATCCTTCTTAACCATCCTATAACCATACTTAACCAGTATTAACCATTACCAACCATTATTAAACATGTGTAACCATGTTTAACCATGTTTAACAAGTATTTCACCATGAAGAATCATTTTTAACCAAACTGAATCCGTATTAACCATTTCATATTTAACCATGATCAGCCATTATTAACGATTATCAACAATTATTAAGAATGTTTGACCAGTATATTGCCATGAATGAAGATTCTTAACCATAATTAAACGATATCAACCATTATTAACCAGTATTAAAAAAAACCATTGTTAGTCATGTTTGCCCGGCATTTCACCATGAATGCTCATTTTTAACCATTAATAACTTGTATTAACCATTATCAACCATTATTAGCAAATATAACCATGATTAACAATGTTTAACCAATATTTCACCAAGAATGGTCATTCTTAACTAAAATGAACCAGCATTACCCACTACCAACCATTATTAAACATTATTAACACAGTTTAACCATGTTTAACAAGTATTTCACCATGACTGATCATGATTAACCATAATTGACAAGTATTTCACCATGAATGATCATTACTAACCAGAATTAACCAGTATTTCACCAACAATGATCATTATTAACCGTAACTAAACAGTATTATATAGCCATTACCAGCCATTATGGACCATTATTAACAATATTCAACAATTTCTATTTTTTTCACCATGGATGATCATTATTGACCCTAATTAACCACTATTTCACCATGAATGATCATTATTAGCCATAATTAACCAGTATTTCACCCGGATTGATCCTCATTAACCATAATTAACTAATATTTCACCATGAATGATGGTTATCAATTACAATTAACAAGTATGTCACCAAGACTGATTATTCACCAGTATTAACCACTGTCAACCATTATTAACAGTTATTAACACAGTTTAACCATGTTTAACAAGTATTTCACCATGAATGATCATGATTAACCATAATTGACAAGAATTTCACCATGAATGATCATTATTAACCAGAACTAACCAGTATTTCACCATGAATGATCATTATTAACCAAAATATTTCACCAAGAATGATCATTATAAACCAGAACTAACCAGAATAAATGATCATGATTAACCATAATTAACCAGATGGATGAGCAGTATTAACCATAATTAACCATAATTAACCATTATTAACCATTATTAACCATATTTTCATCATCTCCCCCAAGCCTTTCCCGGCATTTCCCCATCGCCCAATTCCGATTTCGGCCCGACCTTTCAGAATCTTCTCGGTGACCAGCGACGCCAGGGCAGAAACCGCGGCGGAACCTGCAGCAGTTTGGGAAAAAATCGCAAATGACATGGATGATATGCCCCCATGACGTAGGAAACCCGCCATTTATTCCATTTATAGAGCCCTATAGCATTATAAATCTGAATTTATAGTTGGGAATTTCGATGAACGGAACATGTCAAAACCAGAAAACATAAAAAGAGTCTGAGTAGAAAGTTGGGTACAATTAATTTCCGGTGATTTACTTTTAATGATGATTCGACTCAAGCAAACACCATTGAAAGGCGCTGAGCCGATCTTGAGCTCAGAATTTGCCAGAAATGCCCAAAAGACCTTGTGATTGACAAATAGCAATCTCTGATTTGGAGGATGAAAATCGCCCTGAGCTCTCTTTGGTCGAGAAATTTCACCAGTTGAACACAAAAGATGACTGTTACATACTTTAACTACAAGAAACTACAAGTAGCTATGCACCACTGTTTCATGCTCATCTTAAAAGCAAACAGCTTGCTGTTTGGGGACCCCGATAATCCACCACAAGTGGTTTAAACTAGTGCACTGGGGCTAAGTAGCCAGCATCTGATGTGTCGAAAAGTGTCATAAATCCGCACTCTAAAAAATCACGGCAGTCTGCACTGCACCCTCTATTTTGTACACCTCTCAGCGCAATCCATTCACTTCAGAGCCGCCGTTCCTGTCCCACTGTTGGTTGTGCAACAGCTGTAGGGCAGGATGGTTGGTGATTTCCAATTCTCGAAAATGCGAAAGTCAATTTGGATCATCGCAGGGTTTGAAAACAAAGAACTGTTTGAAACCACCACTCACTGGTTTGGATGTGAACATTGACTCAATTTCCATCATTTTCCCCATTGAGCTTGCCATGAAGATCTATAAAGTGTGCTAGATAAAGCTGATTGAAACCCCCTGTCTGGACAACCCCAGTTCACGGTGCTTAGATCCCACAAAAAATCCACAGTGATTCATCAGAATACCGGGTCCAAAATATCGCAACATGTTCCTGGTGATGGTGCCCCTGCAGTTGATGATGGATCCCGTGAAAAATGCAGATGGTTGGTTTTCCATGGTTTTCCATATCTATGCCGGTTTTGTGGAGGGTGACTCTCCCCAGATTTTCTTTTATCACCAAAGAAACAAGTAGGGTAGGGCACTCTAGAAACCAATGTAAGTAGCAAAGCTCCGTGGAAGCACCAGGATGAATCAAAGTTTAGCTGGCTTGAAAAACACTTGGCAGGTTCTAGACAGCCACTTTCCACCAACCAACCAGCCAGGCAAGCTTGGACGAAGTGACATGAACGTAAGGTGTTCCATGGACTACCATCCAGCAGCCACTTGTCAGAGGCATCCGTCACCGGTGCGGGTTGTCCATCCCCCGAGAAAGCACCACTCATTCCCAATTGTGCTTATATCATCATGTGTGAACTTCAATTATCCCAAATTGTTGGTTCAGTCCCAATTTTTGACGGTGAAATCCCAGTGTGTTGAGTAAATCCCAACATTGAATGATTTTGGCGGTTGAAATCCCAAATGTTGACGTTGTCTAAGGGCGGTGGAAGGGATTATACATATATATATATATAAATAATGGGAGTCGTGTTATCCCATACCATGAGCATACAAGTCCAAGTCCACCACCGGGGTCATCATTAAATTTTACGGCCCCTGGCAGTTTCACTATCTTCAGTCAGTGTGGGCCCGGTAAAAATCACCCGAAATATGAGATGTTTCAGCTCAAAATTGATCAGCCGTTTGTGGGTGAAACCATGGTGTTTCCACATAGCAACGAAAAAGCGACCCGACTTGACCGAGAGCGATTGAACTATCCCCAGAATGATGGTTGACCATCACTCACATTTATTCCCATATATTGGCCCCAAAAAGAGTCAAACAAACAATGCAATTGGTTTCGTAGGAATTTACTTTTCTATCTGGGGGCTGCTATATTCGCCCAACTAATTGATTGCCAACAAATCCATCTGGCGGTGGACAGAGATCCTGGCAGATGCAAACTGAGCGTAATCAGCACATGCCAATACCATTATAATATTATGGCTATGGGTTAAGTGCTTGGGTAGCAGTATCCCTGAATTGGATAGCGCTGAATGACTAACTTGGTAAATCCAATCAGAAGATATTGGACATGATCTAGATGAAGCTCTAGTATTGAAGGGTCATTAACACACGTTTGAAACCTGGACCCATTTCAAAGTTCTGGTCAAATTGGGGTATGTTTATGGTTATGGATGTCTGGGATGAATGACCACAGAATACTCAAGTTCTGACCAGTCACGACCTCTACCAACATAACTTGACCCATACTTGACCCATGCACAAACACAAAAGGTCAAACGTCTGTGCCTGTATAGTTTCTCATCTACTGGCTGGGATCAAGGTGTGTTGAGGACAGGAACAAGCCACGCAAGGCACCTCTTCCTGATCATCAACGCACACCTCTTCACTAGCTATGCTCCCCTGTTTGATCGCAGATGAATTTCTGGCTATTCCTGTTTGATGGCAAACAGCGCGCTTATACAAAGTGTGGGCCTCAGCCCCAAAGATGCCTGTAAAATCATATCCAAAACAAAACCGCATTCATAGGGGCCACAAGGCCTGCCATTCTGTGGTGGAAATTGAAACTCCGATGCAAACGTGCGAAACCTGTTTGCTTCGTTTCATTCTTATTCGATTAAAAATTCAAACGCTACCAGGGAAAGCGCCACTCAGGGACACCGAAGGCAACTTTTCCTGATCGTCAACACTCAGCTCAGAAGTGGTCCTCATGGTTTCTCACTGGCTCCTGCATGGATTCTTGCCCTCCTTCGCTTCTGTCTGCTTCACATCTGCACCCACGGAATCTTCCGGCTGAGCTGGGGGATCATCTGGTTTGGTGCCGCTGGCTGGACCTTCGGGGGCCGCGGGGGCCGCGGCGGGGGGCTGAAGGTCTCCGGCCATCCCCACATTGGCCTCGACAGTGGCCTCGACGACATTGACGTGCCCGGCACCATTGCCTCCAGGCACCACGGGCGCAGGCGGACGGTTCCACCGAGGAACGAAGATTGGAGCTGTTGAGTCTAGGACACCGCGCTTGAGTCTGTCCTGCAGCCTTTGCGAAGGAGGCTCCAAACCAAGGACGTGAACAAGGCGCAAGTCGCCCATCGGGAATCGGGAATTATGCAAGTCGAACCGCTGAGCCGATCTTGAGCCTGCCAACTCTCCTGATTGGACCAGTTATCAAGCCGAAACACAAAACATGATTGCTACATACCGTTACTACAAGTAACTATGCACCACTGCTTCATTTGGATCTTGGAAGCAAACAACTTGTTCCCAACCTTCGCATGATGAAGCGTTTCAAGGTGCACGCCTGGCTATTCCAATGTGTTCAATGACTAATCCTCTGTAAATCTAGCTGCAGCCTTGTTGTTTTGGCATATTATTTGATATTTTTTATGGTTTGAATGTATATAGTGAGACAGTTCGCCACTACAGTTTTTCAATCTATTCCATGTAACAGACCTTGAACCTCAAACCTGCTCCAGATCCATGGTTATTGCATGTTACACAGCCCAAAGCGCCTCAGACTCCCAGCCCATGTTTACCTACACCCCTCACCTAGGACCATCGCCATAGCGCTGACGGGTGCAGCTGCGGGACCCTTGGAACCAATGTTGTAGACCTGCGGATCCAGGTGATCCGCCACGGGAAAGAAACGGGGGAAACATATGGAGGGAATGGGGGCTAAAAGGAACAAACAAAACACGAAATTGGGAATCAACAAAAAGGCGCAAATGAAAATCATTGAATGTTCTGAAATAAATCTCATGGATTCTCTTGGATTCTCCAATAGATTCTATGATTGATAAGACTGTGATATACGGTGATGCTTCGGGCAGTTCAAAAACATACATTTGGTCCCCCATGTATAGCCCACTAGATGCTGGTATAAACTGGAATGGCCACATTATGGGGGTGTATAAAGTGGAAACCAGCATATTTTCGTTATAAAGTCACAAACCAACGTTGTATAAAGTCGCCTGGCCAGGTAAAAACAAAAAAGTCAATGTGGTTTTTTGAGGGCATTTGTGACGAACGTTTCCCATTACTATAAAGTGAAATGTGCAACATCCAAACAATAATTACTTGTGTGGAACAGTGGTACTATAATGTGGATTACCCAGCTGACAACGATCGTTGCAATATCGATGGTGCCCTTAATCACGTCGCTGGAAACATACACATGATTGTGTATAAAGTTGACGGGCCACGTTCAAATTTTGGGGGAATATCACCGATCTCATCGATGGGGAACCCCTAAAAACATCGAAACCGAATGAAACCAACAGCCAGACAAATATCGATATCCAAGGCGTGAACAGCATCGATTGGGGCAACACCGCTTTGAATTGCGAAGGGATGGAAGGGGCTGGAAGTGTATAAAGTGGTCCATTCAACATCGATTGGTGTTTTTTGAGGGGTGTAACCTGGTCAGGCCACTTTATAGAGGCATTCTCTGCTCGGGAGCGGTTATAAAGTGGTCCAACCAACATCGGCTGGTGTTTTTTTCAGGGATGTAAACCGGTCAGGCGGTTTGGGGGCTCGGCCTCTGCAGACGGTGTCAGGAGACACTTTTTGGTGTGTACTTGGAGCCAGAAGATTCCGATTCCATGTGATTTGTAGCGATTTCTGGGGAATTTTTACGACAACATCATTCTGAAGTGGTTTTGGTTTCATTTTGTTTGATGGCAATGGCTACATTTACGACCACCATTCTGATTGCCACAGCAGGCTAGACCATGATAACCCATGAAAGAATTGGTATGTGTTTGGTAGATATATGAATAGCCAGGTGGGCTCATGAAACAGCACATCTAATCATGAAAATTGTAGATATACCTAAAGTTTGTTCATGGTATGAATACCCAAGTTTTTTACCAAATTTATCGAAGATGCATCAAAAAATGATGGGTTCAGAACCAACTTGTGTATCATAGCAAAGTTAGAATCGTAAATTGTTCGGTTTTTATTAAAAAGGAAAATTGAAGCTATAATATATATATATATATATGTGCTATAATTATTTCAGGTATATGATTCATACCGGGTTCTTCAAAAAAACAACCAACCAACTTGAAGTCTGGCGAGGAGAGGTAGACACCCCTGGTCCCCCAATTTCAATGTTGTGTGACAGCAGTGCTTGGTGGACCCTTCAAAAAAACAGCCATTCTTGCTCCGGCCATTGAGAGGCAATGTTTAGCAACATTGAGACAGGGGGTCCGGGGGCTTCCGGTGGATGTTGAAACTTTTTGGTCGGTGGCTGTTTTTTTTGAAGAACCCGGTATGATGATTTTTTTTAACGGTATTATATGATGATATACAAGACCATTCTTCTTCTTCCATGAGCAATGAAGTCCAAGACTGTGCTCGACATATATGATAGTATGTGTGAATAAATTGTTCTATATGTAAAATGCTTTGCAGCAACTGTCTTTCTATAAAATGCCATGGCTGCAGCAAAAGTAATCTTCTTAAAGGGCAATATTTCCTCTATAAAGTGCTTTGCCATGTATAAAGCTCAACAGAAAATATTGGCTCGAAATCATTGAGGAAACATGTTTCTATGAAGTGGATGGTGTGACATGTTATGGCCATTCTTTGAAGGGAACCAGCGGTTTATGAAGTGCATTGCCGCATATATTGAATCATTTCTTTGTGGGAAACTAGCCGGGTATAAACTGAAAACCAACGTTGTATAAAGTCATCTTGCCAGGTCCAAGGGCATGTTCTTTGCGCAAAACACGGCTTTATCCCCCATGGCTGGTGTATAAAGTGGCGACCGGAATCCCACTTTATAGACGCAAAGGATATCCACTGTATAGCTAGCTATACATGGGGGATACATTTGGCACACTAAACAGACCTAGGAAGATGCTCAGTCTTGGCATGGGGCTCAGGCCAAGGATCTGAAGATGGGGGCGGAAAGGGGCCGATGGCTATGACGCAATCAATATTAACATATGGAATCAACTCCATTTGGGTCACTTCCAAACCAGAGTTCCTGTTGACTGTCCGGCTGGAGTATGTGGAATATCTGGAAAAATTGGAATGGTGATCTCAGCAAGCACTGGGACATCAGCGCTACGATGCCACCCCCCCAAGGCCACGCTGCTAGAGATTTCCGGGGCCTACTGATTGCTGGCAGATACCAGAATTAGAGCCGGGGCCTACTGATTGCTGGCAGATACCACAAGTAGAGCTGAAAGACATGCAGTCTTTAAGTCACGTCGATGCCTTTAAGTCACGTCGATGCCTTCCATTCACATCCAGCTGCATGATTTTAAAAGTTCAATGAGACTTCAATTTCAATGTTCCAGAGTTGTGGGCCTGCAATGGTACTGCCAACATACAGTGGCATAGTTTAGATACCCATGGATTTTCCCTGAACCACGAAAGATCAGGATCACACCCCTCAACAGTCAAGTTGGGTTACCCCCTGAAATTTCATGACATCTCTAAGTTCTATAGCTATTATATGCGTGTTTCTTTTTGTAATTGTCTTGTAATTATTCCTTATATTCCCACTGAATCATCATTCTCCTGTCTCACTCACCCGCCGCTGGTCCTTTTGCAAGGAAAAGGCCTGCCTGTAAATATCCGAAGGCTGCCGAAGATAGAGTGAGGATAATGAGCGAAAGCCTCCAAGGTGCAGAACGAACGTTTGAAGAACTGCGGGAAACGTCTGTTGAACAACCATCATTAGATATATGAGTATATGATATATAATGATCGAAGGAAGTTTAGAAGTCAAACTTCCGACAATATGGACAGATCAAAATGCAGAAGTGGGAAGAGTCGGAGAAGAGAAGGGAAGAAGAAAGAAGATCAGAAAGAGAAAGAATCAGAAGAAAGAAGATGCAGGTGCGCGAAAAAGTAAAAATGGAAAAAATCGCAAAACACTGTGTTTTTCCAATGAGTTGTGGCTCCGGAGGGTCGAAAAGTAGGCTCCCTAAAGCGGCGGGTGCAGAGCCATCTGGGCAGGTAAAAGATTAAAAATTGCACGCCATTGTGGTGAGAAGCACATTTCGAAGTGAAAAGTGTAAAACACTTTTGGAAGTCGAGCTGTTGAAAAAGTGCACGCCGTTCTGGCACGAAGCACATTTCCAAGTCAAAATGTTCAAAGCACACCATTCTCGGAACACTTTTGAAAGTTGACATGTCGAAACAGTGCACGCCGTTGCGGCGCGAAGCGTGTTTCCAAGTCAAAATGTTAAAAGCACCACATGTTCGGACCACTTTTGGACGTTCAGATGCTGTTTCGCGTGGCAGGCCCAAGGGATTGTGCACCTTGTCAAAAGTGAGCAAAACGTGAGGGTTTTGTAGCAGTTTCAAAAACGTTGGCAGGCGTGGGACATTTGGGGTGGATCTGCTAAGATGCACTTCGCGTGGCACGCGCAATACAAGAGACACAGGAGTCAGACGGGTAAGGAGGTCCGGGCGTTGATTTCCTGAAGCTGGTTGCATTTTGGATTATCAGATCTTCAGGTTTGCTAAAATGATTTTGCTTGACAGGTGCAGCACTTCGTTTGACCTGGCCCCACTTTTTCGTGGCAGGCGCAGTACTTACCTTGGATAGATGGAATGGGAAAATCGCAAAACGCATTGGTACACGGCCGTCAGTTCTGCACTCAACTTTCCATTTTTGAAGAACGTCTCGCAGAGTTGTTTCGTTTTCAAGCTTGCAGATAGCCAGATTGATGGATAGATAGATAAATAGAAAGATAGATACATAGATAAATTAGAAAGAAAGAAAGAAACATAGATAGATAGAAACAAAGATAAATTAGAAAGAAAGAAAGAAAGAAAGATAGATAGATAGGTAGGTAGATAGGTAGATAGACAGATAGATAGGTAGATAGAAAGATAGATAGGTAGATACATAGATTGAGATAGAATGAGAAAGAAAGATAGATAGATAGATAGATAGGTAAATAGATCGATAGATAGATAGATAGGTAGATAGATAGATAGATCGATAGATAGATAGATAGATAGACAGATAGACAGATAGACAGATAGACAGATAGACAGGTAGACAGACAGACAGACAGATAGACAGATAGATAGACAGATAGATAGATAGATAGATAGATAGACAATAGATAGATAGATAGATAGATAAGATTAGACTAGATTAGATATGATAAGATAAGATAAGATAAGATATAGATATAGATAGATAGACAGATAGATAGATAGATAGATCAATAGATAGATAGGTAGATAGATAGAGAGATAGAAAGAAAGATAGATAGAGAGAAAGACAGACAGACAAACAGACAGACAGACAGACAGAGAGAGAGAGAGAGAGCGATAGATAGATAGATAGATAGATAGATAGATAGATAGATAAATAGATAGATAGATAGATAGATTAGATTAGATACACAGATAGACAGATAGACAGATAGACAGATAGATAGATCGATCGATCGATAGATAGATAGATAGGTAGATATATAGGTTGATAGATAGATCGATACACAAACAGATTCACAACTGCAACTACACTACACTACACTACACCACACTACACTACACTATACTATACTATACTATACTTTACTATACTACAGCTACAACTACAATTACCACTGCAACTAGAACTACAACTACAACTTCAGCTACACCACAGTCACAGCTACAACTTCAAGTACACTTCAACTACAGCAACTACAGGGACAACAGCAACTACAGCAGCTACAACTACAACAACAACTGCGTAACTGCACTACAACGGCAACTGCAACAAAAACTGCAGTTACAACTACAACTACAACTTCACAACTTCAACTACACTACAACTACACTACAACTACAACTACACTACAACCACAACTACCACTACACTACACTAGACTTTAATTAAAACAACAACTACAGCTACAACTACAGCTACCAGCACACTTCAACTACAACTACAATTACATTGCACTTCGCTACACTTGGGTGAGGTGACCACTGCAACCACTCCAAAAATCACAACCACTTTTCGGTCCATCAATGGATTCGCTCTGCCATCCATGCATCACAACAACTCCCCTCTCCTCTGGTTTCCTATCTTTGAAACTTCTGCCACCGCCTTGTGCGGTACTACTGGTATGTGATTACGAATGATCATGATATCTATATATATATATATATACTATATGATGATATGCGATGTACATGATTATCAGAATTAGAACAAAGATCAAACATGTTGTCAACTGTTCCTATCTCGCTCGCTGCCTTGCGACAGGCCACCTCTGGGCACTGTCACTGAGCTTCCGACCACTCCAGGGGCATGTAGTATTTGCCCATGATCCAGCCTCAAATCCATCGAACAATGGACATTGTCTCGACTTCCACATGAAAATCAGCAAACTTGTGGACCCCTGAATTGAATGCGGCTAATACAAGTTTGCCTCACAAAAGCAGGTTGAATCATATGAGTTGTTTTTTTGCTAAACCCAAAATGGAATTCAAATCCGTGAGCAGGCCATCTACCTGCCAACAAACATGCGGAGAGATTCACAGAGAAGAAGTTGTTGCTCTGGACCCTGAAAAAGAGATGAGTACTTTGGGTACTGACTACGCTGAATGGTTGGCTGTCGACCATCGACTGACTAACACACAACACGGCAGCTATTGCAGCATTCCGCGTCTATTTTTTGATTCTGAATGGAGAACCAACTATCTTAGAACATATGCAGTTATAATGATTTAGAACATATAGTTTTACACTATTCTGTATGTTACCTTCTTTGGAGAACCAGTTATAATCATTTATATGTAACGTTAACTGTCGACATTCGGAGCTGAGGATGCAACGGGCACAAAAGGCCGCCACGGGGGTATAGAACTTCCCCAAGACCTTGGCGGCACCAGCGGGCCCGGCACGTGATGTCTAAGTTGAAAGGGATTCACCCGATGAATCCATGACTGGTACCGGACTGGCCCCACTTTTGATGGCCCCTAGTTGAAACAAAAGTTAGAACCATTTGTGAGCCGAAAAACAAAAACAAAAAAAATATATTTTGAAGTGAAACCATCAACAATTCATGTTTTATATAAGTATAGAATTGGTTGGATGATCAATCTGCCGGTCAGATCGACCTTCGCTTGGTACTCTAAGTTCTGAATGTCGGGCCATTATGCATTGGGTGATAAGTTTATTGTTTAAGTTTTGAAGAGTTCTTGAGAACGTTCGGGTAAGAATGAAAGGCTGGTAGAGCCTCTTGTGTTCAAACTGAGTCACTGTGAGAGATATATCACTGGTGTATTTGTTCAAAGCTAACGGGTACTGAAAGGAACACACATTTGGACATGTTCAGACGGCAACGAGTAATCCAAACCGACGATTCGGAGGACCACGGCAATCAGCCATATCCCTAGTCATAGAATAGCCCCATATAACTAATATATCAGCCATATCCAATACCAATACAACTTGACAACACTCCCACACTGTCCTTCCTCTGTGAAACACTGCCGGATCTGCCAATTCCAACTGCAACATACGTTATCAATGCACACAGGTGAACCGCCTCAACTTGGTATATGAAGAAAATCGGCAAGACTAAGCTGACTGAACTATACCAAAACATGACTGGTTGGTGGTTTCAACCTACCCCTCTGAAAAATATGACGAATCGTCAGTTGGGATGATGACATTCCCAACTGAATGGAAATTCATAAAATATGTTCCAAACCACCAACCAGAGGATGAGTATACTCAACCATGAGAAGCAGGGTATACCCAAAATGGGCCATGGTCAAATCTGGGATGACCATCCTCAATGGGAAGATCAACCCAGATCCCTGGACCATATCCCCAGTTGCAGGAGAAAAACATGACATATCCCCAGGTGATTTGTAACATGAAAATTAGTTTGTAATTAACATCAAAATTGGGTAATTAACTGGTTAATTATGGGTAATTAACATCAACATTATTTGGTGAAATCTCCCATTGCCCATTTCAGTCGGTTAGCCCATGTCAGCCCCATTCTAGTGGTTAAATCATCCTATATAAAGTATGCAGTATGCTCTAGTTGGTTTATAGCCCAATTTTTGTTTGCTAAAATCAGCCTTTTTTGGGCGGTGTCCTAAAGTCATGGTACCGAAAAATCATGAAAACAATTATATACTGCAACCATGACTTTTATGATTTTTGGTACTAATCATGGTACCAAAAATCATGGTACCAAAAATCATGGACCATGACTTAGTACTGCAACGACCACAGTGACGGATCCCCCGTGACTTCGTTAGATGCAGGGCTGGTGCCCGGGCCAAGTAGAGAGCTGGACTGATTCCCATGGCAAATCCCTGCGGCGGGCTGGTGAGTCATCCCCTCCTACACGTTGGTAATAGTGAGATAGTTGGGGATGGGTCGAAACCTATGAAATTGCCATATTTTGGGGGGAATACGCATCCATTAAGCAGCTATGTTAGGGTACCTAGGGTACACGGGGTATTGACCCTTAACCAGTTGGTAAAAACATGTCATAATACTGTGAGCTTTTGTCGGACTATCATGTCTGAACACTCTTGATAGTTCCGTAAACAATGATAACAGTCGAACTACTTCAAAATACCATCTGGTTATTTAACATAGCCATGGCAAATCCCTTATAAATGGAGGTTTTAATGGGTAAATCAACTATAAATGGCAATTTTCCATGGCTATGTTAAATAACCAGAGGGTAGTTGCTAATGTTTTGGGATTGTCATCATTGGTTGACACAGGCTCCATGAGGCTCCCATATAATCTAAGAATCCGCATATATAACAATCAACTTCCATTTGCTTTGAGCATTGCTCTACCCTCTGGTAAACTAACATAGCTATTGAAAATGGCCATTAATAGTAGATTTTCCCATTAAAAATGGTGATTTTCCATAGCTATGTTAGTTTACCAGAGGGTAGACCTTCGGAACCAAAAGATCGGTGCCAAACTAAGCATCTGGATTTGTCCTCAGGTCATCTGGATTTGTCCGCAGTTTCACAAACCTATTGGGAAATCCTGGAAAAAGTGGTGCAGTTTTCATGGGGATTCCCCAAGAATTGGGGTAATATCCTGGTTAAAAAAATCATATATATATATAATAAGATAGAATCACCCCTGAACCAAAAATCAACGCTTTTTGAAACTGCCCTGGGGCTTGCGATGAGCGAAGCAAAAACCATGATCCGATGGTTTGTCATCGTATTCTGATGTTTACAACGGCAATTTAAGGGACATCAACATCCCACATTATATGTATATATGTACTTTATATAAATATATATGTATATATGTACTATATATATATATATGTTCCTATATGTATATATATATATATGTTCTTATACATGTATATATATATACACTATATATATATGTATATATATATATATATACTTTTATATATATGTACTTATATATATATACTTCTATATACTTATATGTAAATAGATATGTATATATATATGCCAGGTCTTGTCATGCAAATTCTGTTTCTGACTGTGTCCGGTACATGTTCGCCTGGATATTCTCCTAATCCCAAACCTTTATGAGCCCAAACACTGATGTGACCTTCCAATCATTTTCCAACATCCCAAGTTTAGCCCCTGGAAGATCGGCTCGAAAGCCTATTGAAAAGGGGTCAACTGGTTCTAATATGCTCAGAACTCATACCAGCTGGGTCTGAAACAAAAAGGGAGGTTCAGAATCCCATGGGTTTTGTTTGATAAAATCAAGGGTTTTGAATAGCATGAATCTTATCATGCAATCAACATGGCCATGTTAGGGTAGCCCGGTAGCCCCTGAGCCCCTCACCAAATTTCCCAAAGTCGTGGCCAAGGCAAAGAGAAAGGCGGCAGGTAAACAATGCCTTCAGCTTGCGGCGCGGCGCCAAAAATTGCCTTTTCTTCGTCTGAAAAATCAATTTGGGTATGGGTAATGTATATACGTAAATACCCCAAAGTTAAATGTTTTTGCGATGAAAAATAAACAGAATCTGCGGCCGCCTGGGCCTTAAAATTTGATCCATTCCGATTTGTTTACATAATTTCCTTGGGAAATTGTGGAAATTGCATAAAAAATATCCATCTATATCATCTATATCATGAACATACCATTTGAGCATATGTCCTACATTTTTTGGGTCCTGCATCTTTTGTGCTGGAGCTGCAAAAGCGGCAATTCGGAGGACAGTTCTTCATGAAAGTGGGTTGTTAATTCAACGAAATGACCAATTGCTCTTAGGAATGTGGATATATGAATATATGTTTCAAAATTGGAGGCCTTCTGCGTTTGTTTCGTGCCCTTTTTGAACCCATACACATACCGTGAAACATGACCTTTGTTCACCTGTGCGCTACACCATTGGATCCAAGCACGTGACAATTGGTTTCTTTCCCTGTCTGAAATGCGATTTGATTTCCCAAGTAACTATGATGGCAAAGGGCAAAGAGTCGAAAGCAGCAACCCAAACCAACCTCTGACACGCTTCTTACATATCATGTCTACATACACCCTCACACACACATATATATATAATATCATATTATCTATTTATATATATACACAATATCTCAATGTATGTAATTAATTATGTAATATATACATGGTATTACATGGTCTTCCCCACCAGAACCTACCTTTTGTCAGCCGAGTGACAGAATCTTTCGAGGCGACCATGCGCGCCTGTCGTAGATCTTGCTGAAAATTATCACCAAAATTACTTTTGGCAACCGCCAGAAAAAGATAGAACAGTCAGTTCCTACATCCTGCTACAGTATGTTATTTCGTGATAAATTGGTGTTCTATCTTTTTCGGGCTGATGTGAGAGAATATGATTATCATCATATACATGCAACATGCATGACATGGAACATAGACCCCAACACATACACCAATGTCGCCCTGCGGAAGCAAATCTATTGGACAAACAACAATACCTGCAGAAATGCAAAACATATGATTTAAATCATATACATAAACCGAGAATCCTATCAACACTCTCTCTCTCTCTCTCTCTCTCTCTAGGATTGGTTGGTGTCCGACCATCGCCATCCTTTCTTCTACTTGAGTCTCCCAAAATCAAAGGTTTTCCTACTAGTAAAGACGGTTTCATTGGGTTCACAACTGCCAACTTCGCCTTTTATCTTGTTTCTTTGTTCCTTCACTGTGGCCGACTGTGGCCCCCCCCCAGTTATAAGTTGGTTTATAAAGCCATTAACTTATAAGTACAATAAACATCAATAAACCATAGTTATTGGAGTGTTATGTTCACCAACTTAGCGATTTCGTTTGGGGGGACCCATATTGTTGAAATCCTCGTGTTTCTTGGTCATTAGTTTGGTAGGGCTGCATCTCAGCCCGGGCCTTAGACCCTCCATACCATCATAGTAGGCAGTCAGCAAGGTTGCAATGACCATCCCCACGACCTGTTGGATGCGGAGGACTCAAAGAGCTTATTTCACAACCACCATAAACATGGAAACATGGTTTCTGTAAGCGCATAAAAATGGAATCTAACCTTACCGCCGGGAAAAAAAACATGGACTACATAGTACTAGAATGTACTAGATATGGGTACGTGAAAATTGGACGCCCTAAAACAGACTTAAAACATTTATTTTCGGGACAAGATTGGGACAACACATCATCTGCCTTTTCAGCCTTATATATTGCCCACGTCCACGGCGGCACTGGCGCCGGAATACACCGGAAAACAAACGGTGTTTCTCCCTGTTTTCCCCGTGACTTGAGGCAAATTGTGGTTCCCCAGCTGCCAGCTGAGCATCTGCCGACAAAAAGGCGAAGGAAACTGGATCCATGACCATTTTGTGCATAGCTTGCATGCAGCATGTATGCATATAGAATATAATAATGTGAATATATATATATATGTATAAACAATCATATATGAATATATGTCTTGTATGATAATTCTTTATGTGTACATACCTATATACAATGTAGCAATGTTTATACACATATGTATGTGTGCGTGATGAACGATGTATGTATGGAAATGTGAATATTCATACATATATATATAAGTAAATACATACAGAAGTTGTTTGCCTACAGAAACTAGATATACACATCCACATACATACATATGTTAAAAAAAACGTGATCCATAAAGACACACACATATATAATCACATATACATATAGTAGTTATATATATATATCATTATTCAAAATATAAACATGTGTGACTGTATGACTATATAGCCAATAATGCTAATATATATATATGTAAATATATATATATACACTGGTAGGACAAAAGTTGCGCTTGTTGAGCTTCCCACAGTGAACATGGTTGGTTTCTTCTTCTGCACACCCTTTCCCCGTAGAATCCTAGCATGGAGCTTTGTCGTACCCCGGTCGCATTCCCACCCTCCAAAAGCTTTAAAATCTTATATATTTAAAAGAGGGTGATAATTGACCGTCCCACACCTGCCACACAAAACGGACTTGAAAATGTGATCCGCGGTTGACCGAAATGGATGTTTTGTAAAGCTTTCAAGAAGCATAAACTTTGTTCCTCCTGAAGGGTACAAAAAGCTTATTGAGTGGGGATTGCCAAGTCATTTGCTGATTTTTGCACCTGCTTCAGCTTGGTCATTACTCCACATAACATGCCTGTCTCCATCCTCTTTGTCTGCACTGCTACACATGTGCCGTGACGCACTGGTAGGACAAAAGTTGCGCTTGTTGAGCTTCCCACAGTGAACATGGTTGGTTTCTTCTTCTGCACACCCTTTCCCCGTAGAATCCTAGCATGGAGCTTTGTCGTACCCCGGTCGCATTTCCACCCTCCAAAAGCTTTAAAATCTTATATATTTAAAAGAGGGTGATAAGTGACCGTCCCACACCTGCCACACAAAACGGACTTGAAAATGTGATCCGCGGTTGACCGAAATGGATGTTTTGTAAAGCTTTTCAAGAAGCATAAACTTTGTTCCTCCTGAAGGGTACAAAAAGCTTATTGAGTGGGGATTGCCAAGTCATTTGCTGATTTTTGCTCCTGCTTCAGCTTGGTCATTACTCCACATAACATGCCTGTCTCCATCCTCTTTGTCTGCACTGCTACACATGTGCCGTGACTCAGGGTACAAACAGCTTATTGAGGTGGGGGATTGCCAAGTCATTTGCTGATTTTTGTCAACCTGCTTCAAGCTGGGGTCCATTCCTCCACATGAACATGCTGTCTCAATCCTCTTTGCGCAAACGCTACACATTTGGCCGTGACGCAGGTACAAAAAGCTTATTGAGTGGGGATTGCCAAGTCATTTGCTGATTTTTGCTCCTGCTTCAGCTTGGTCATTACTCCACATAACATGCCTGTCTCCATCCTCTTTGTCTGCACTGCTACACATGTGCCGTGACGCACTGGTAGGACAAAAGTTGCGCTTGTTGAGCTTCCCACAGTGAACATGGTTGGTTTCTTCTTCTGCACCCCCTTTCCCCGTAGAATCCTAGCATGGAGCTTTGTCGTACCCCGGTCGCATTCCCACCCTCCAAAAGCTTTAAAATCTTATATATTTAAAAGAGGGTGATAATTGACCGTCCCACACCTGCCACACAAAACGGACTTGAAAATGTGATCCGCGGTTGACCGAAATGGATGTTTTGTAAAGCTTTCAAGAAGCATAAACTTTGGTCCTCCTGAAGGGTACAAAAAGCTTATTGAGTGGGGATTGCCAAGTCATTTGCTGATTTTTGCA